ACGCGGAAGTGTGTTGATTTTTAATTGTCGTGTTCGAGGGTTCGCCAACCGAAAATGCCGCTTCCGCTTGTACTAACGGTGTCCCTCAGTTCATATTATATGACCCTCGAGAAGGGGAACTTGCATGTTGTAAAATTCAGGCGTGTCGACGCATGAAATTACGTCGTTGTAAATTAACCGAATCACTCGGGGGTGGGGGTGAATGTTTATAGGGCGCTCTTTGAGAAAATGTTCGTCGTGTTCGCCGATTCCCTGACGCATAATTTTTAACCCCTTGCCATACGGTTTCCTTCGCGATTAATTGCTTCAGACTTGAGTTTTATGTAGAATTATGTTCATTTATGTAACAACATGGACCGCCCTGCAGTCCATCATTAGCAGCGACATCATTTCGAATAAAATAATGGTGGTATACTAATTTTCTGATAGGAATAGGATCAATACGCAATTTTGATGCCGAATTAATACTGATATTTTAATATGGTGATATTGAATTAATGTTGATATTTTAATATTTTGGTATTGAATTATTACTGATATTTTAATATTTTGATATTTTCAGATATTGAAGTAGTAGAACAGTGAACATTATAATGTGCGTTGGATCTGAAGGGGTTAAGCTCGACCAACTAATTTTATTTTCAATGATTTGCAAGAAACGCGAAGAAATGTTTCATTTATTACAAGCACACGTTAACTTCAAAGGTGAAATATTGGAAACAGCAAAATAGTGTTTCGCTTAAATGTATGTGTAATAAGAAAAATTGATTTTTGTTCGATTAATCTAGAAATCTGCAGCACAAAGTTCACTCGTTACTATAAAGCAAAGGGTTAGGTATGTGCTGCGCGAGTAATTTTGGATTTGGATAATTTTGAATTTGTAGATTACGATTTGTAAATTACTTCCTCATCGGTTTCGATGATCTTTGAATATTTTGTGGAAGTCCATGTTTTCGAGAGTTTTTTCTTTCGTAGACGATCACTGGATTCGAAGTAGGAGATTTTTGGAAATTATGGAGTGAAACATTTAAAAATCATAATCTAAAGTTTATTGAAATCGGTGAGAGAGTAGTCAATCTATTGATTAACAATAATTTGAATTTTTATTTGTTAGTGAAATTAAAGAGATATCGATGGGAAATTATTAAAGGAATTGATTACGTTGAAAATTGCACAAAATTTTGTGAACGCATTTTTGTAATTTTTGTGGATCGAAGTTATTATTTTTAATGCGTATTTATAGTGTTGGTAGAAGAAATTTCTAATCTGCTTTTGAAATGCAATGTTATTTACTTACATAACAGAACTATGAAATTGAATTCATTGCTTGAAGGTTGCTATTACTTTTATTAGATATAAGCTAATATTTACTGTTTTTGAACATTTATTTGATTATGATCGAAAATAAGTAGTTGATGCTGAGATATCATTTTAAGTAATAAAATTATAACTCAAAAGTCAAGTTTTATAGCAACGTATTACCATTTTTAGGATTACGTATACTTAAGTTACAGCGACTATCCCAGAAACACAAAGTTATAGTCCGAGTTATTGCAATTTTATGTAGTGCAGTATAAATGTTAAAATAACCTACAAAGGGTTGACGACACCCTTGTCGTACGTATGTCAGTACAAGTGATAATAAAACCTTACTTTATTTTTGCTTTGATAGGATTTTTATTTAACTGTTACAGTTTCTAAATGTTTTATTTGCTATATTTAGGTTTTATACGTTACATTTATCGTACTTTTATATCATATGCAGAAGGTTTTAATGTTATCCTTATACAAAGAAATATTATGTAAACAAATATCAAACTCCATGAAAATTAGCCGATGTATTAATTATTATATTTGAATTAATGTACTTTATTATGTAATAGAGACTGTTTATTATCTGGTAGATTTTAAAGTTATCGAAGAAGTGGAGTTTCGACAATTATTGTACATAGCACAGTAAATAGTGATTAACCAAAGTAAATCAGGTTTTATAATTACGAATATTATCAAACAATGTACAATTTTATATTTTCCAAAATTTTAACAATTATTCTATACATGAAATACTTTTCCAATTAGACATAGGTACCATATTCTCATATCAATTAATATAATTAAATTATGAATTAAATAAAATATTGCCATTGATAATGTCACAATCGTAAGGTACTAATCAAGACACGCCAGAATGCATTTAATCGTTAGAGATTTTCTAATATGATTTTCCTAAAAGTCTGGAACACGTAATATTCCTTCCGTAGACACAATTTATTTTTCACAAGTAAATACCTACCTATATTTTCATCAAATTTTTTGATGAAATTTTGAAATTGCATTTATTACTTGAAGAACATAAACTAAAGTGACGTGCAGAATTTTCTCCAGATAACTGTTGATTGATTGATGAACCATTAAATTCACAGACTCATTAATGTTTCAAACAGTGGTCACTATTTACAAGTTCCTCCAGTCGTTCGAATGCTACATAGTTGTACACATATGTATCGGTCTACTGATAAAAATCGCCCGCATTTACTGTACGGCTTGTTCATTCAAGAGACTTATCGATCGTCGTAGGGTCAACCTAACGCTAGGACGGGCGTATGTGACGAAGATATCATGGAAATCAGAAATGGCAGGAGCGTATTTCAAATGTGCGGCTGGAACAGCGGCCAACATTGTAAGTATTGCAAAACTTCTAACTTCGTTAACCATTTCGTACATCATAGAAGGCTGAAATATGAATCTGACGTAATATAACCAGGAATATACTTACTAATAATTCAAATTTTAACGATCAGTTGTTGCTAAAAAATTTAAGGGATATATTCTCTGTGATGTATAATTTTGGAGAAATATAGGTCAGTATAAACACCAAATTGTTTGTGTAAGTTATACGCTAAGATCGGGGTTCTATGATACGAGCAACATGTAATTTTAGATAAGAATATTTCTGAGGAATTGTATGTATTTTCATTCAAATTTCCAAGCTCATGTTTTGCAGTTTTCTGTTAGACATTATTCTATAGAATAAACATATTAACTTTCCTTCGAACTTTTTTTAATATTACATTGTACCCAGTAACTAAGTGTAGAATAATTTTGCTTGCAACGCGAGGAATTTGATGAGGACAGATACGCTAAGATTTGCTTGCAGCATGTTTTAATAGATTACATATTTATTGAAATATCTTATAATTTTCCTTCTACGACTTTTGCATTGAATAACGTAATGTTAATATTAACCGTACTAAGAACCGGTCAAATAACCGGGTTTACAATTCTGCCTTCTCTTTCGTTCATTACATTTTTGTTAAAATTTTTGTTTTGTTTCCACTGAAAAAAAGTTGTTACCTAACTCGTTCACCTTTATTTTGTAGTCTGATACTTGACTGATTACAGTAGGAAAAGTGCTGATATGGTTAATGTTAATGAATTTTTACATAATAATATGTATTTACTTAGAATCCTTAAAAAGCAGGAAATAAAATGTATGCTACGTGAACGGGTCTCACACAATATCTTTCATATCGTATCGGACTTTTTTATTATATTATAGAATCTGAATTTTATAGGAGCATATACGTCAGAAAGTATGAATTCACGAAAACTGCATCTCGCATGAAAGAATATAAGAAGGGTTTTAAGGATTTATTATATTCATGCGCTCTCGTCTTTCCAGTCCACGTTAGGACGAATTGTATTAATAACCGTAAAAAGGATATGAAGGATAATGGAAAAGTACCCGGGATCACATTAGCATATGTAATCGAGGAAGTGTGTAATCTTCCTTGAATGCCTCTTTCCTCCATTAAATTTGAATTTTTTCCTGTTCTAGATTTTTATATATTACAAGTAAACATCTATTATAAAAATAGTGGGTTATATAGACGTCTTTATGTCGAATCATAAATTAGTCCTTTTTCTCGCTTTACACACTTTACATAGGCTGAAAACATTCTACTAATTAATCTGTCGTTTCTTTTCGAATATTTCTAATATTTTCATATATTATAAATAAGTTTGTTAAACCTATATTGTTCATTAATTCTTCAATGTGTGACAGAACTTACTTATTACTCAAAATCATTAGTGAAATAATATAATTTTGAAGATATTGCAAATAATATTGAGTATAATATAACTAGTCATTGTGCAGGATATGGTGTAAAATAAATTTATTTGAATGTAAAATAATAAAATTTTATCTATATAATGTGTCTTAAAGTTATATGCGATTTCAACTAATACCTGTAAACTATAACTAATAAACAACTTGACTATAGCTTCTCCCAATAACAACGCTCAGCCATGACTCTTGACTTTCAACACTTGACTACCCGACTCTTGATCACGACCCCAACTTTTTAACCTACGCTGCTCATTTCTCGCATATTAGAAAAATTCTCATTCTATGCATACTTTCGTTAACATTACCGAGTATGGTAATCTTCGTCGTTGTTGCCAAGCCATCCTTGACGTTATGGGAAAATGCATTCGTCACTGGGGCTGGTGCACACTATGGTCCTGGGCCTCTGCTCGCTAAGCCTATATACATACGTACCTAACCCTTTTCCACTGCATCGTACATCTGAAAACTACCTCAAAATTGCAGGATATTACATCATAATTATGCTAACAGTATATTTTGTTCTAAATATTTGTTGCGATCAAATATATTTAGGTGACAAAGTTATTCTTACATGTTATTGCTGAAATATAATAGAAATGATAAATTAATTAATTAGTTGTAGTAAATTTAAGAATTTATGAATATTATGCACGTGAAATTTGAAGATTACTAATATAATTAGTATTACTATGTACTAACTAGTATTACTAACTATAATAATAGTTAGTACTATTAAAGATTATTCTACAATTGTATATTACAAAATGGTAGGTTATAAAAATGAGATAAATGGTCGTATTATAAAAGTCTATTTAAAATTTTTCAGTTGAATAACATACCTAGTCCTCAATCTAAAGGTCTGGATGTTCAATTTTGGTTATGAATCTATAATTTCAAGGTTGTACACTAAAACTGCAATAAAACTTCTATTAGAAGAGACATTAACTCAAAATAATAGTCTACTTTCCATATACTACCAGAAATACATTACACAAGAACGTTCATCACATTTTATTCTATTTAACCAAAATTTGAAAATGTCCACCGACAATCCTACCAAAAACTTAACAACACCAGTATACTATACATCATTTTAATAGAAAGATTAAAAGAAGAACAGTACCTCGCGGAACTTCGAAAGCTGATTCCACTTTCCCGGCAGTTCCCGTCTCCCCAATTCCCCTCCATGCACATTAAACCGTCGCAATCTAAAATTATTAAACTAAATCCGCGCGATAAGTCTTCGGCGGGGAACTCCGTAACTCGCGATTAAAATCTCCGCAATAATGTTTCCCCGGCGAAAAGAAGTGCAGAACAATCAATCTCCCGCGGCCAGACCTTAACTAGAGACAGGGGGTAAAAAGCAGCAGGCAGGTACACGAGCAAAAGAAAGAATACAAAGTTCAGCGAGTATTGGAAGACGATACTTTCCAGAGAGTTCCCGAGGTCCGAGTTAGCCGTCAGAAAAATCTGACGTTTCCTGACCAATCGATCTTCCTAACGCACTGATCCGTCCCGATCGTCTTTGGTAAATGTCTAGATGAGTCACCTCCTTACCGATTTCAGTAACACCGAAGTGCATTGTCACGGGCGTTATTCTGAGTAACTTTTTTCCATATATATACCACAAAAATATGTGGTAGATATTTGGATGAACACGCTCCACAATAATCAAAATAATCTTGAAACATGTTGTCAAGGCATCATTTTGAATAACCTTTTTCTATGTATACATTGATCGATCTCTTTTAGTTTTCAAGTTATACGCACAAATATGTATCGTATATGTTTTCCTTCGCTTACTAAAATTGTTTCATACAATATATAGCAATTAGTTTCATTTAGATAATAGAGGTAGGTTCGTACCTAAGGGGCGTTGCATCTCCGCCCTGTAAAAACTGGCTCCACTAATAGCTACCACTATTATCTAAATGAAACTGATGTGTACATACAGTAAGAAACAATATCAATAAATAAATGTGAAGGCGAAAGATTTGAGCTTAATGTGAAATTTTAATGCTTCGAAATGTTTGAACCGATAGTCAGCTAAGAAATTTCAATTGTTAGATACACGGAACAATGACCTTCACAATATATCTCAACGTCGACGTTGAAAAATAAAAGAGACCGCCTACTATATGTATAGGAAAAAGTTGTTCAGAATGGCGTTCTAGGCAACATAATTTAAGATCATTGAAATCGATGAGGAAGCGACTCATTTAGACATTTACCTCGTCTTTTTCCAGTGTACGTGGACGTCGACGCGGACGATGAGCCGTTGACGCTGGACATCAAACTGCCGAATAGGCTGCAGTCCCGCATGTGGGAGATACGGATCGTCCAGCTGGCGTTCGAACAGCGCGCGCCTACCGGTTGCCTCCAGTATTTTCAGGGCAACAACGGCACCCTGAAGACGCTCAACTATTTGTCGAACGGCAGATTCCTGGCCGACCAAGATTATCTGCTTTGCATCCGCCAAGAGAAGGGAATGTGCGGAATCTCCTACACGCCTTGCACCTCGGACTCATTTCGGATTGGTCCACCCAGGATGCAGATTATCGACTCGAACAACACGAACGCCAACGCGTCCAGCGTCGCTGAGAACACAGCGGGGAACACGGTCGCGCAAAATACGAGCGATAACGCGAGCTCCGTGAACGATGTCGACGCGGATATCGAAGGATCAGGAGCGGATCCCGCGAACCAGGAAGCTGCTGGCGCGTCAATGAACGCGACGAATCTGATGGAACAAGAAGCAGAGGCTGCCGCCACGTCCTATGGGCAAGAACGCTGCAGGAACAGAGTGCTCATCCCTTGTGACTTCGAGGAATTTATTACGGTAGTATTTGTGGTTTATTTGCGGGGGTGCTAGTAAATATTGGAGGGAAGTCGAAGTTTTTCTTCCTTTTACGCGGTAATAGGATTACCCGGAGTCCGACGGTTTGAAGTTCAGTCACTTCGGGGGAGACTGTTGATCTGTGTCAGCCGGGAAATAACATTCCCAGGTAAATTCTGAGGTAATCGATGGTCGATAAGTTGCGACTTTAAGGAACTTTGGGGAAATAGGGAGGGAGTGTCTTGATGAATAACATTGTTCGATATGGGTATTTTTTCATTCTAGTAACTAATAGCAGGTTTTTGGTCACTTTTGTGTACCGAGTGTGAATTTCGAAGTCATTTTATCTGTCGCTTCGATTTTTGGGAAAGTTAATTTTGAAGTGGAATTTTTCAGTTTTTAAATATGTGTATTCAATTTAAACGTTTATGAGAATTCTTTGGGGGAATTATTGTAAAATATATTTATTTATTAGGGAGATTTAAGTGGTATTTGAAGTAGATAGAAAATTCATCTTGCATCAATATTTTTATATTTTCTACTTTTGTTTGGAGATTTATAAATTAATTATGGAGAACTACAAGCTGAAATTGTGGAGGACATTATCTATTCTATTCTTCGTTTTAAATTCTGTAAGAATAACTCTTCCAAGTTTCAACGCCGACGGTAACACTAGTATTTACCTGGCTAAGAAGTTGGTGCGAAATAATTGTAAAATGTTTCGTAGCTGAATACAATTACTTCCATTCGGTGCATTAAAACTTAAATTATAAAAGTAATATTCGTGTGATGAAATATGGTGGTGGTCCAAATGTTGCTTTCCTTTCTTAACTTTGTCCATTTTTCATAACCACGAACAAAGCTCCAGAGGCAATATGCATAATGCGAGCCGGTGCAAGCTCTGCAATGCGAAAAATTATGATCTAGATGCCGAAAGATGAGACGAACCAGTTTTTTTATCTGCGCCTGGAAGGGTCTACGTTTTAATAATAGTCTTTCGGCTGTGTGCGCCTTATCTTCTATGAAGGAATACATTTGTAACCATATATGTGACGCATAAAAATACTCATCTGTATAATAAAGACATTTAACTAATAATAACTGTAATAAAGATTATAGGTGCCCATAATTTTTATAACACATTTAAGTGGATATCATCTATAACATCATACTAAATTATTTTACCTTCAATATAAATTCATTACATTTCGTTAAAAGTAGAAATAATTTTCAAGTAATATAATTTTTTGGTACCTATTAATCGTATTAATAATTAATTGTAAAATATTTTATTGGAACAAATGGCGTTGACAAAGTTTTGAACATGCAAAGTTGACGTGTCATTTTTATTGCATTTCAATTATGTATTGAATTTGTAAGCTTATATAATCTATGTTTATTAATTTCTTGATTGTATACTTATTATTAATACTTATACAATTATGAAAAATTAACTTAATCTCTGTATCTTATATATTATCGATCCGAAGTTTGAGATCGTCTTATAATTTTTGTAAGTTATTGTTTTGAGGTTAAATTTTTAAACTTTATTTTGAATTGTTGCTCCAAGTGCATTTTTTATCTAAGCATACAGTCAGTGCATTTTTATGTATTTATCTAATTAAGTTATTATTAATCCTTAAAAACTACTGTTTAAGACTAACGATAAGATAATACATGATAGTGTCCTTACTGCTTTATATTATAATAAATTGGTATAAACTTTAAATATTCCATAGAAAAGTAAGAAGAAAAATATTTCTTTACAATTATGTTACAAATAAGTTACTCTTTTTACCAACCTTCTTAGAAATCTATAAACCACTACTTTCCACTTTCTTACAAGTTAATATAAAATATAAAATCCTTACTTTTGCTAAGAACAGTATTACATTAAGTTGAACAGAAAGCGTCAGAAAATTCTTATGAACTCATAAAGTTGCTTCAAAGGCTTCATCCTTTTCTCGGTACCTTTTGTTTATATAGGTCTGAGAGGTAAGGAAACGAAGTGTTGTATTTTAGATTAATAAATAAGTTATTTTATTTAAATGAATACTTACTTTTCCTTCAAATTCACTGTAACAAAACTTTCTGTTCAACTTAATAATTGCAGTTTAAGAAATATTCTTATCGAATAAAGTGTTGAAATTTCCCTGTTACAGCCTGGGAATAACGAGGCAGGGATTTGCAATCTTGAACACTGCGGTAACTCTCTGTGCGATCAAAATGAGCTGGACGAAGAGGGAAAGTGTCGCGTGGAAACTTGGGCAACGCCCTTTCGCATAAGAGTCGCTTTTGGTCCCGGACAGGACACAGGAACCACATTGGAGGACAATATTGGCATGTGCCTCATGTACGAGCAATTACTTTGCGTGTCCTGAACGACCAGTGATAAATGAGTTTAGAAGTGGAATGCAACAAGAACTGAAATTCATGCAGGGAAATCAAATCATTCGTGTTGTTTGTTCAATCGATTAAAACTGAACCAATATTTGAAGAGTATACTTTAACACTGGCCGGGATTTGTCCTTGCAATAAATGTGATTTATCAATTCTATTTTTAAAAGGTTAGTCCATTATAGCCGCATTCGCAGTTTAACCCCTTGTCATCAATAAATTCTATAGCATCAAATTTACTTAAATTTTAATATTTAAAATTTATTATAGCAATATGTACGCAGCAAGCATTTTTATTTTCAGCATTTTCTTTTTAAATTTGTTGTCTTCAAACTGTGTGAAAGCGAAATCGTGTAAATAGAGTAAATCGAGGGATAGGTGTAATCGATAACAGAAGAATAATATTTAATTTGAATTCACTAGGATCGAATAAGATTTATGAATTTCAGATTTTGTTTAAAATCCTCATCACGAGAGCAAAGGGTTAATAGAAGCCTGAATAAGTAGATCGCGCGGGTTCCTATTAAACTGCCGATTAATCGACTTTTTTGCCGAGAAGAAATGCATTGTACTACCTATGTGAATTTCCGTCGTTGAGAGCAGTATTATCAGTTTTCTCTGTGACTCTTCTCTGCTTTTCTTTCTTATTTTAACCCCTTGCACTATGATTCCTTTCATAACTGTGCTTGATAAAAGTACTTTAACCTTACATTCGTTACATTTACTTTACACGTTAACGATAATAGAGAAGAAATATTTAATTTATATTTTTTTAAAATAGACGATATTTAAATTTGTATAATTTAGTTGAACATTTTCATTACAAGCCTGACGCGATATTATAGGGTAAGGGGTTAAGAAACATTCAGTATGGTTTTGCGAATTTATATAATTAGAAACAGATCGATAATAGAAATTGAATTAAAATTGACTTTTACTATTACAGGAATCAAAATATGGATTTTGAAACAGTTTTACACCTTTTTTTATCAATGTAGCTTAAAATTGAACAGAGTGACATTAACTTATTGGTATAAAGACTTTTACGTGAAGATTAAAATTTTTGTTTGAGAATACATACTAAGATACAGTACAATCGTTTCTATTATGTATAACTTCAATCAGCTGATATTTAACTTTACATTTTCAAGTTTCGTACGTTTAAGAAGAATTAACATTTTCGGATCGCTGAAGTTTCCTTGTCATTGATAAGTTATTCCATCAAACTTCATTTATATGCGATAGAATATATTAATTTTTATTCTATATTTATTTTATATATTTATTTGTTTGTATATTTCTACTGTTTTTTATATTTACCTTACTTTATCTGTTTTCTATCTCTTAGACTTACTCCAATTGAAGTGAAATTTTATACATTAATAATATTAATAATTGTTTATTACCCTTGGTTCAACGATTGTATTATGTATATATATACACCTTGTATAAATTAATGATATTTGCTCTTAAGATTATTCCAATGGGGTTTTTTATCATTTCGTTTCTTATACTATGCAGAATATCAAAAAATACTTACATAGAGATCATTTAAATTTCACAATACCTTGTATATATAGAACATTACAAAATAAATACAAACTGGCGCGATTCGATTTGATTGTTATCTTCACATTTGTTCTATTACTTCTTTTTATTTGCATCATTTTTAAGATGTAAACCCTCTGCGTTCAATAGGCTCCACCACAGCACCATTTATAATACTAAGTATTTTAATAAATGAAGTTGATAAAACTACTCTAAGATTATTGCATTTGTTGTACGTGCAAATTTTATCCTGAGAAGGAAAATGAAAAGTCATTAAAAATCAATAAGAAATGTACTATAACGTTCTCGAATTTTCATTAGGAGCTCTATAGCAATGCCTTGAAATTACTAGTCGGTTACAAAATGTGCTGAAACGCTAAGGGTTAAAAATCCCATTTAATAGAAATAGAAATAGAAATTAGTGGGAAAAAATTCAATCGAAAAGACTTTTCTTATATAAATATAATTATTTGTAAATAAAAACTGTTTGAAATTGAGTAGTGTCTTCTTATATTCAATTTTTATTCCCTTTTTTCAATGTTAACAACGGTACTGTATAAGTATTTACTTGTATGTAATGAAGCATTAAATTATTAAAAATCTTGTTCAGTATCGTTAATTCTATAACTGTTTCTTTGGTTCACTATATTTCATAGATGAAAGTTGATGAAACGAAGTATTTTCTAGGATTCTCTTAAATAAACTTTATTTAACATTACTTAATTAATTATATTAAGAGAAACAAACATCTTGAAAACAGATAAATTACATTCTAATTGATTTTGAAAGACAATAACGATACCAAACGAAACAAAACTGATATCAATTTATAAAACAAACAATGAATGTTCTACAGTTCGGCGAGCATTTTTGAATATTTCTAACAGTAGTTCGTGTTTAAGTGGAGCGGGAAAGTAGAGATTGAAACTCATTGGTAACACATCGATGTCAAAGAGTTAAATAGTCTTTATTTACAAACGAACTAGTTTAAATCACAAACGCAGCGCACAACTCTCGATACAATAATAGATATATAATTCGCCTTCTTATTTTCATATTTTTGTTTCATTTCTCTGGATTGCTCGCCATAATCATCGACCACGAAACAGCGCGGTCAAACGGAACGTGCGTGTAAAGTTTCCGTACCGAGACTATCTACTGATTCGTAAATCATCATCTCGTCTTATCTCGATGCTTTACCGGCCATTTTTACGTGAACGTCAACTTACGGATAATTGTTAACAATTATCTGCCGCGTTTACGTATTATTTACGTATTTTTACGCCCACGACTTTTCACTCTTATAATGTACAAATTCAAGAACTTCAACTTTCAAACATATTTAAAATTTGGTATTTTATATACAGGTATATAACGCGCGTAGATGCATCAAATTTTGGTCTTTTCATCACATCGTTTTATCCTTTTTTGTTACTTTACATTTAAAGGCAACGGTAATAAGTTGCTCTTATAAAAACACGATTGTGAAAATGCTAAATTATAAACATTGGGGGATATGAAATACAAAAAGATAGTTTCCTTTAACCATAAAGGGTAAACGTGATTAGTGAATTACATTTTATGGAATCTCTTATTTGTTTTTAAGCTTATTGCCACTGTCTCTTTTATGCCATCGAGTTATAAGATCAATAACTTGCAACGTCGACTCATGTGATTCTATATTTGAAAATTTTTGTTGTAGAATTTGCTACGGTTCTTGTACTATTTTGCGATATACATAATAATAAGGTCAGGAGCAATGTTCCCATAGGTTTACTAATTTTCTAAGTAAATGTAAAAAAAACCGTGGTTGAGGGAAAAATTTTGATTAAATCTACAGGCTGCAGGTATCAGGAAATTACACACAATAGTAAATGGGACGTTAAAAAAATTCTTTTCTTCGAAATTGTCGTATACTATAGTTAATATTAGCAGCTACATTGAGCATTCAAGCTATTTGTTTCTACCATCATTTTCATCTTATTTAATTTACATGTTTCTACATTTGAAATGAAAGTAACTTGTGAATATGTTGTTAGAAGTGTGTTAAAGTGTATCCATTTGTTATCTAAAAGTAAAAATGGCACAGTAAGTACCAAAGTTTTAAATAGAAAGTGTAAACGACAGCATTTACTAATTCAAGCAAACAATGAATCAAGTGAAAGGATTATTTACTAGAATAATTTTGAAAGTTTGTCGTTTTAGTAAATTTATATTAATGCATATTCGAGTAAACAAAATACACGTTACTTGAATCAAATACTATTAAACATTATTGTAAAATAGTACATTTTACATATTTCACAGGCAAACTAAGCAATGTATATTTTTTCACTCTTATCTTTACGTAAGTTATTATACTATATTCTGCAGTCGCTACCAAAATATACTTTAACATCAGAATGGGTCTGCCTCTACCATAATACATATTTCCCAAATTATACTATCCAAAGTCGTTCGATATAAAATTATCGAGTACCTTACTTATATCAAAATATTCAAAGCACGCGTCGTATTAACAAACGAAAAAAAGAATTGTACAATGTGTTTTAAAGACGTCGCAGGTTCCAAGAAACGTCGGGCGCGCCGAACGGCGCGTCGTGGCACATAAAAATGGCGGCGTCGGACGTAAAGTGTGGCGGGTAAAGGGCTGCCATCTATCTCGAAGTCTAACCGGTGAACGTTCGCCCGCGGCGATCGTCGACGATGATAACGGGAATCGCAGCGATAACGACAATGATGTTACAAGAATAAATTATAATGTTATTAATACAATAATGAAGGTGACGTCACGCCGAATTTTCAAAAGAAACACGAATTGCTCGTCCAGAACACGGCGTGACGTTACGAGCTCCTCATCACCTTAATCTGTCCTCGTTCGCCGTCTTATTTCGTCTCATTAAACCGTATAACCGTTAATGATATGTAATAATCAATATAACGCCAATAAGAATCATAATAACAATGACAATAATAATAAATGGAATTACGTAGCGATAATCATGATTCAACATGGCGACGTTTGGGTTCGGCAGCGTACTCCCTTCCCCCAAACACGGAAGTTCTATACGCTTCTCACGTAGCTCCATCGGCCCACAAGCTAAAAGTGTACAGAAGTGAAACGTAAGAATGCGATAAAGTGAAACGTAATGATAGAAAACGAAATTCTCCATAATTCCGTCTGACTTCATCGCGTTCGGTCTCGCTTCTGTCCTTTGTTATTGCCGCGCGTTAATAAGACCATGCGATGAAAGCCAAAGCAGCTCGAGCGTTGCGAGTGGAATAGTCCCCTTGTCCCTGTGTACTTTTAGCTTGGCGGTCGAAGGAGCTAACGTGAGAGGCGTACAGTACCCACGTTGCTAGCGTGTTTCAAGAAAAAACCTGAACCTCTATCTACAAAGTCAAAAAGGACCGATAAAATGTGTGTAAAAGGGCTGTGGTCGATTTCGGACGTGCGTCCTTTTCGGTGGCCGTGTATGTAGGAATATGTTTACGTGTGTGTATTTGCGTGTGCGTACGAGTCAGGTGTACCACAGTTTTTGTACAGAGTCCTTTGGATACAGCACATGTCGCTCCCCTGATACCGTACTGTGCTAATTCGTAATGAGCTTTTTCTCTCTCTTTTCCTTTTTCCGTCTTTTTCCCTTGCTTTCCTCG